CACAGTTATCAAATAGATAATAACACAGTTATCATATAATGGACCAGTTTTATTACATACACACATATATAAATCACATTCTTAGATAAAAGCATAAAATTTTGAAACATAATGAATTTTTAAAAACTAGAAACTGTACAAAAAGATAGAGGAAAACATCTCCAAAAACATCTAGCTACACAAAAGAAACTTTATAAAATACATACTAATATGAAACATGAAATAAGACACATTACCTAATCCATAGTTTTCTAACCTCAAGTAATTTAACCTCATTGTCCCCTATTTTAAGTTTTATTATGCTTAACACCCCTTACCTTGCAACATGATACAGATGCCCTTTAAGAGTAATATGAACACACTGACTGGACACACATTGAAATCTACATACAGTCATTGCACTTGATTGATTCATTAATTAAAATGTAACACCAAACTCAGAAAGAGATTAGTAATGATTAATGATGTCTTAATCCCCTTTGTTGAAAAATAAGAATGTCCTGCTTAATATAATTTCACGATCAGTCCTCTGTGTCTGAAACTGGTTAAAACATTCATAGTAATGGCCATGAGAAAAAATGCACAGATTTTTGCTATGACTATATTAAAACAAAATTTAACACACACAACTCAAACCAACACGTATAAAAGCTTAATTGGCATGATTTGGAGCAACTCTTATAAAGATGCATAATTAATGTTTGTATAATCAAGTGAATATTTAAGAATCTTTTTAAAAATGTATTCTTACTGTCCACTTGCTCCAATACTCCCTATAAATACTACCTCCAGAGCAAAGTTCTCCTACCTCTCCATAGACTCCAACCTTCAGCAAACCTTGTCAGTAGTCAACGCGCGAACGACATTTTTACAACTTTGAAAATGTGCGCGTAGTGTATGTTGTAATTAACCATTCATTAATTTTAAATTAATAATTAATTGTAATCAATTTTATTACATTTAAAATCCATATACATATAAAACTGAATAATTAAAAATATACCTTGTAAATTATATGCACATTTAATTAGAAATTTTCTTTAACTCCTCAAGCATTCACTAATAAAAAGTACTTCAAATCACTACTAATCATAGAAAAAATCAGAAGCTATAAATCATATCTTTATTCTGGATATGATTTCTACCAGGGAAATAAAATTTAAATAACCAAGAATAATACATATAAGTATTAAACAAAATACGCATAATTTATGAATGCAAGATTTATATGTAGCATGCTTAGCAAGCTTAAGTTCTGATTTTGAGAATTTTTTTTATAACACAGTTCTTCATTTGCCTGCATATTTATTTTTTCAATCAAAACTGCTTCAAGAGTTTTAAGACCTAAATTTGGTCGAAATTCCGTCTGATTTTTTTTAACAATAGAAAAAATTCTTTCGTAAGCTGCATTTGAATGACGTATTATTAAGACAGCAAGCATTACAGAAGGCAATACTTTGTATTTAATACACCCATTCATATTTTTTAATTTGGCAATTTCTCCCCATGCTATATCAATACGCAAATCTACAATTTCTTTCAAATCATCTACTTGATACATGGAAAATTCAATTTCTACTTGATTAAGACATTTTTTCATCAATAATGGATGGAAAAGTATTCATCAAGTAAAGAACAGATGAAAATGAGACTTCAGTTCTCAAGTTGATGTCAGCAACTTCAGCATGTTTTAGAAATGGATCACTCAGTGGAAAAATTTATCAATTATATATGAACATGCAGTTACAAAAAAAGCTCGCACAAAATTGAAAAATGATTTCACTTCACTGTCATTCAACTTGGCATTTTTTAAATATAGTCTTGTTTCCGCACCAATCACTAAATTTTCATTTTCTTTTGTTTACTATACTTCTGAAATGGAATAGACGTTAGAGTAACATCTTCATTTTCTTAGAAATTACTGATGGTTTTAACGAATCTAACAAATAAATTCATTAAAAGTTCTCTTCTCAATTTATGTATATAAGGAGCTTGTTGTTGCAAATTAATATTTACTGTTATAAACAAAGGCAAAGTATTTTTCAAAAATAAGAAGTACAATTTGGTGGTCAGTGACTGTAAAATTTTTTTAATGTTTTGCAATCTCTTTCCTTCATTCTCACTGTTATCTGGTTTATCTCCAAAAAAATTTATCACAGCATCCCACTGTTCCAAAATCCTTGTTATAGATTCTAAAAGAGACAACCATCTCATACTGCAATATTTCAAAATTTTATGAGATTTTGCATTCTGTCCCAAAATTTGTTGAGCAACTTTGAAGCTATGCTTCCGTTTCGAACTTTTCTTCAAGTAAAAATATATATCTATTATCAACATTTCAATTTCTGAGCCAATTAATTTTTCAGTAGCTTTTTTTTGCAGCTATATGCAGAAGGTGGCACGGACAACCTCGGGTGATTATACTTGGTTGATGCATTTTGATAAATGATGCTACACCTTTAAACTTTCCAATCATATTACTAGCATTATCTGAAGAAAATGATAAGCAATTTTTCCATTCTAAACCTTTGTTTTTAAAGTTTTCATTTATACAATTAAAAATACCTTCTCCTGTATTATTCGTGCATTCTAAAATAGAAATCAATGAAGTAATTATCACTCCCTTTTCTTTACTGTAGTATGTTATAACCAATGGGTACAGTTTGTTATCATTGTTATCATTACTTCCATCAGTACTTAGAGAAAATGATGTACTGCACACTGATTTTATAATATCAGCAACAGTATTTTCTGCAAGCGTTTTCACAATAGCAGCAGTTTTGGTATGACCGCAGCTAAATTTTTTTGCTATGGCAGAATCCGGAAACATTGCTTTGAAAAGCTCTTTGGAATGTCCGAAACAGAAAGCGGTAGATTATGTTCAATTAAAAAACGAACAAAATAGCATTCGGCTTTTATAGGATCTGTTTCATCATCTTTTATTAAGAAATTTGTTATTTCTTTAGATTTTACGGTGCCAAGTTCTGTATGCTTTTGAGAAAACACATGCCGATCTTTCCCGCCATGAGCAACTGAGAAGTCTTTGTTGCATACACTGCAGTGTGCGTGATTCACAGAAATTTCGGACGCGTTAATGCATGGAAATTCTGAAGAATATGAATCTTTAAACTTCTGCTTTGATAATTTTGGCTTCTTCGTTCGAGGCAGCATTATGATTAAAAATCTTTCACCTGATTCACAGTTCACAAGACACACGCTAAGCTCTCGTCGTAAACTACACAATGCAGCCGAATGCAGCCTAAACACGCATCAGCGAGGAACCTGGGAGACAGACAATTGGGTGGAACTATTGATAAGTCGTTAACGGTTGGAGTTGCTGATCTACGATTGGCTAATTCTTCAAAACTAGGAATGCACTCAACACGTGATATATGATAACACGAGTATTCAGCCAATCATCGGATGAATTAGTTGGTTCCGTTTTGCGTACTGGTTCTCCTGCTCTTGTTTCTGTAAAATCCGTAGTTTTTTCCATACTTTTCGTAGCTCGTAGTTTTTCATGAATTTCCGTAGAAACTACGGAGAATCCGTAGTAGTTAGAGTCTATGCGTCTCCTAAATGTCTATGTTAGGAAACTATGATTTGACGCCTTGATTTCAAAAGGCACATTTTACAAATTATTTGATAAAAAGGGCAAAATACTTTATTTCCTTTTAATAGTCCCCCCTCCAGGGGGTCAATGCAAGAAAACCTGTGAAGCTACTGGCTAAGATCTGCACATAGGCAGTCTCGACCAATGGGGTATAAAATCACGAGCTTGGCAGTTCCTTGTGACCTGTGGGTGTCTGCAGGATTCCTGCCCTCATTTACTTGTGTGGCCCACAGGGTGAGAAAGCCTGTTATAACATCATTGCGGCATCAGGTGTCCTGCGTAGTACTGGAAGGTAGCAATTAATGGCCAAACAAATCTCCAGGCTTATACAGCCACATCCTATGGTGGTCTCTGGTAGTGGTGATCCTGGTTGAGCAGTCAGCCATGAGTAAGAGTGTTCAGATTTAGAGTCTGTCGCCTTGAGTGTGAGATAGGCGGCAGCAAAATGAATTACCATGTGCTCTCGTTGAAGGTGAAATTTGCCAGACAGACTCACCTCCTGCCTAATATGGAGGTCTTAAGTTGGGATTGGACCAAGTTGTGCTGCTACCAGAGCATGCAGTAATGGCTATTAACAAAACTAGCTCCTTTAATATTGATCCTAGACACACACCTCAAATTACAAAGCTTCTAAAAATAAGATGCAAAATTCTACAAGTTTCAGGAAAGGGACAGAATAATTGTGGTTACTGTACTATGGAAAAATATGCAAAGACTACCTGCCTAAAGAGAGGGATACCTTCATGGAAGTCTTTTTAAGTTAAATGTTTTCATATTCATTTTAGAAATGCAGCCAACCAATTAGCCTGGTATTGAATTAGCACTGTTAAGCAGTCCCCTTTGGATGATGGATGAAAGTGAGGCCAGAATAATTTGAAAAAACAAAATTTAATATTAAAATGGTTGCTGAAGAACAAGTCCAGTAGGTAAAATATTTTAAGTTTAAAAGTTAAACACAAAACATTCTATATTTTTATACACATAACTTTGAAAACAGCAAATTTTTTTATTCAGATCTTGTTCGTTAACGAAACTGTATTAAGTAAAACAGCATTCGATGTTAACTTCATAGCTGGCTTCATGAAATTATTAATGTCTCATAACTTGATGAATTTTGCATTTAAAGAACATGGGACATTTTGCAGCACATAATGAGAATTATATAAATTGGACTGTTAGCTCTAAGAGATACATAAAATGTTTAATTTCATATTTTTAAAATTGTTCTTATTTTTAAAGCAGTTATGGCTTTTAGTTTTAAGGTTTTATAAGAAAGAAAACACATATTTCATACGTTTTTATTAGAGTTAATAAATTAAAAAAAAGAGTTGACACAATATCCACTTTACTAATAATTTTCAATAAATATAGAAAGAAATTACTATACCTTCTAATTCATCAAATACTACATTTGAAGATTTGGATGTGCTTGTCTGCTCTGACTCAGCTTTTCCTATAAGAAATAACATGTACTTAACATTTAATATATTAAAATAAAAGTAGCTTAAAAAAAATCTCCGAATTACCACATAAATAAGCATAAGAATGGATCAAGAATTCAATAATAGAAAACCCAAAAATAACAAAATAATTAAAATTAATGAACACTGTTATTTTTAGAATAATATCCTTTCATATTTTGTACCTTAATTTGCTGCTCCATTTCCTAAACACTTAAAATACGCTTTGATCAAGCTTTGTTTGAAACCTGTCAGATTTTCATTTATATATTACTAACAACTTAAGCAGTACGCTCTAAAATAATCACAGAATGGTCCATTACATATGATTATTCTTGTATAAAATACCTATGTTATGTAACGAGGGTGCAGAATTTTACATGAATTGAAAAAGCTTGCAGCAAGAAGAGCCCAGCTCCACAATTTTAAATTTTTGGAAAATTGAAAAAAATATTTCAAAAATCAATTTTTTAACTTGTACTCTAAATGTTTGTAGTCATTAAAAGTGCTAGTAAAAATTATTTTTTATGGCTACACAAACAGCTTTTAACTACAAACAGCTACTAACTGCAAAGTACAATTTTTTTAACAACAACAAGGGGGGGGGAACATGAACTTAAAATTTACTCAATTGCAGCTGCACCCTTCTTGCTATAAGCCCTTTAATTTTAAAACAATGAGACATGAAATTAAAGAATACTCTTCTAAAGTCACAAAGAAATGAAATCAATACTATTAACAAACATTCCATAAATAAAAGAAAGGAAACTAAACATTATTAATGGATGAGAAATTATTATCAAAGCTAGCACAAACAAGAAATACTGTGTTCAATAACCTGAGTGGAATATATTAGGCTGTTTTCATGCAAAACTGTCTTTTCCTTTTCATTTTAGCTATAGAACATAACAGCAAGCAGACACAAAACAATGAAGAAAATTATTAAAATTACTATGCTTCATATAAACTGGATATCGCCAGTGAATATGTAATGTGCACATACGAAAAGCGAGTGTCGATTTTTATCTCTTTTGTTCTTAAACCTCCAAATTCCGGTAGTCTAATGTACCATAAATAAGATTTTGGAAAGTATTTTGAAACTAACTTAATCAAACAGATTATTAACTGAAGTAAAACAAAAGAATTAACTAATTTAAAAGATCTGGAATTAAATTTTTCAAGACAAAACAAGACATTGTTCCAACTCCCTCATATATTTAGAAAATGTTACATGAAAATTCTGATTACTCATTTTTCAATTAAAAAATATATATACTTGTCTTCTGCAGTGGCCTTAGACAGAAACTGGACTTGGCACATATCTGCACTGCTGAGAAACGAATGCTTACCAATGTGTACATGGACAAGAAATGAACATTTACTGATCTGTGCATGCACAAGAAACAAACAATTAATGGTCCAAGTGGCTTCCCATTATTGCATTGTGTCAATGTACATTTTTTTAATGTATAGGTAAAATACTCATTATGCTTACAATATTCGATCTTAAATGAATGGAAAAAGAAGCTACAGAATTGAGGTATTATTAGCAGCCACCAGAAAAAATTCTGAAAAAATTTTTCCTGTATGCTTATATATATATATATATATATATATTGCAAAGAAAACTATTAAATTAAAAATTAATTAATAGAATTTTCTGTGATGTTGATGTATATATATATTATAAAACTAAATAAATTGCTTAAGTAATCTTATTGAATACAATAATGTATAAAGTTCTGTTGAATTATGTTAAATTTCAGATAAAAATGTATCAAATGCTGTAATAAATACAAGTTTATATTAAATTCCTTCTATACATATATTTATTAAAAAATTTTGGCTGTATATTTATAAAATTTTTCAACAAATTGAACTTTCTCTTAACACTTTCGCTGTCAATCTCGCGTGAGCGCTGTATATGGCGTCAATGCTAAAGAGCATGTGCCAGTGCAGGGTGTGGAGTGATGTAACAGTAGCTAACCACACGCTCACGCAGGAAGAGCGGCACTTTAATATTTCGTCTCCGCTTCAATCCTCATTATATGTTAGGTGTGTTTGCTGGTATTAGCATGGAGTAAAGGTTAGAAGTTAGCTGTAAAAGCATGTGGTTTCGAATTTATAGCTTTATTAGTTATTAAAAAATGTGCAATATCAGTTGTAGAGATGATATTTCTGCAAGGCCTTCACACCCCTAGAAAAGAAAAATGCAACAGAATAAGCCTCTAACAGATGATGAAATAGCAAATTTTTTGGCTGAGTTTTCAGATGGGTACCCAAGTAATGTTAGTTATGACAGTGAGGCGGATTTCATTCCTTCCCAAGGTGTCCATGATATTTCAGATTCTGAGGAGGAAGATGAAGAGTTGCTAGATGTACAAGAGGCAACACATCATCAGACATATAAGAGGCAACATGTCATGATTCCACTATAGTAAGAAATATAATTTGGGAAAATGACGATACAACGATGTCACAATTTCTTTTCAGAGAATCAGAGTTTTGTTGCAAGTTGTCTCAGGTGACAATCCGATTGATTACTTTCGTCATTTATTTACTGATAATATCTTGGATGAGGCAATTGCTCAAACCAATGACTATACTCGTAAAGTACTTTGTTGCTGTGAAACAAAGAGATATTCTAGAATTAATGCTTGGAAGGAAACCACAAAAGATGAAATGTGGGTATCTGCAGGATTAATTTTACATATGGGAACTATAAGAATAAATCCCATTCAAGATTACTGGAAAACAGATATACTTTCTGATTTGAGTGTTTTCACATATAATATGTGCACGAATTGTTTTCTTTTATTGCTGAGGGCAATGCACTTCGCAACAATTCCAGAGAAAAATGCAGTACCCTGAAAAGATCAACTATATAAAATTAGAAGTATGGTGAATTTGTTCAACACACGATTGGCTCAAATATACTACCCAGGACGAGAGAATAGTTTAGATAAGTCGATGATATTGTGGCATAGACGACTCATTTTTAAACAGTATATTCCAAACAAACACCATAAATATGGTATCAAGTTATATATAATCACAACACCTAATGGTATGATTATCAAATTTATGGTGTACGCTGGCATGATGGATGATTCTGAAGGCAAAGAACATGCACAAAATGTAGTGTTTAATTTATTGGAAGGAATGCTAGATGTTGTGCACAGTGTATTTATGGACAATTATTATAATAGCTATGAAATGGCAAAATGTCTTGCCAATAGAAGAACTCATTGTACTGGAAAAATCAGAAAGAACAGGAAGGCATTTCCGAAAGTAGTTAGTGAAAAAAAGCTAAAGAAAGGGAAAACTATAGCGAAGCATGCTAATGATGTTATGATTGGCAAATGGAAAGATAAAAAGAGATGAAACTTGCAGTTCTAATAAATACAAAAATGATATTGTAGAAATGACAAACAAAAGAGGAGATACGAAATCAAAACCACTTCCTGTCATTCAAAATAATAAATTTATGGGATGTATTGATAAGTAAAATCAGATGCTTTCATGTGAAATGAAAACCATTAGATGGCCTACCAAAATATTTGTGCATATTTTGCAATTAATGATTCCAAATTCTCACTTTCTCTACAACAAATATTCAACTGGAAACATGTAACTTTATGACTTTCGTTTATCGGTGATAAGGTGTTTATTGAAAACACAACCTGTCCTTCGTGATCCTGTGCATAAGTCAATTGAATCAGAACGTGTTCAAACTGTGGAAGAAAAGAAGGGTGGAAAGATAGTACGAAAGCAGTGCAAAAGGTGGTATTTCCAACGTTGGAAAACGTAAGGATACCATACATATCTGCAAAATTTGTGACGGATCTATCGGTTATTGCTTAGATTATACGAAGGTAACCCATAAGTAAAATGTTTAATAATAATTTTTGCAGTTATAATATCATTGTAACCAACTTATAATAATTCATTTACATGAAATATGTTAGTGATAAAGTATCATACAAAAATAATTAATTTTATACTTTATTTTCATTATTTTATTTTATTCTTAATCTGGCATTTAGGAAGAAATTTTACCTCTAGTGCCTATCCCGCGCTTGCTCGTAATCAAACTATTCTACAGGGAAAGGCCTAAATATTTAGTAATTAGTGTGATATGAATAATCATGTTTTATTACCTCTTTTCAATCATACTTGTTACAAAAAATAAATGAAACCTACTGGAAAAAAACACATTTCTGCACTGGGGCAATACCTATCAATACACTGGCATGTGACCAGCAGTCAACGCGTTAAGCCCAATCTGTGCTAACACAGTTTCCTCTTGCCAAGGCAGTTATAAAAGACAAGTACCCAAAACAATATGTAGTAAGGGGTTTTACTTAATATTTTGTTTGAAAATATAGATATACAAAGACAATATACTAAATGCATAATTAAGCAATTTACAATGCAAAATTAAAGGAAGGAAGACTGCAATTATGGTGCATAAAATACTAATAAGTATTTCAAGCCCTTATACTTTCATTTCATCTACTGATGATATAAAAACTTCATACATTTTCATTACAAATTAAAAATGTGATGGTGTAAAATGTTATGAATTTATACACACTGACAAAAAATGGTTCATAGAGGTTATCATAAAGAATGTTAAATTTACTCAGAATATCACTTCATGTTGTATCAGAAATTCAGAACTATATCTCTTCAAGGAAAAATAAATGTTGTCTCATTATATTTTAGAGTCACGTAATACAAATACATATTTAGTATATTGTCAAGCAACAGAAGCATAAAACAAATTACTTTCAGGAAAGAACAGTAATATTTTCTGAATTCAGCAGAGCTAATTAATGTGACTTTTTAAGTACTTCCTCCACAACAAAAGCAAATCAAAAAATATAAATGTGTATGCAATGCATATACAGATATACTCACCACTTGTAACCTTCGGATGTTCAGAAGCATTTACAACGTTTGAAGCAGAATTATCTTGAGAACTAGATATTTCTGGAATCACCTGCACAGCAGGTGAATCAGAAATGCTAGTTACAGGATCCTTTTCTGGATGAATGCTTTCCACGTTCTTCTTTTTCTTCTTTTTTGTCTTGTTACCTTCTTCTAATGCTTTCGATTCTTTCGTTATGCTTTCTTTAGGGAGTTCCTTCTCCAAATGAATTGTTTCCTCAGCAACATCTTGAATCTTAGGTTTTTCTGAAACTGAAATCAAATCAGCACTGCTCTGCACATTTTTCTCGTTCTCTAATTCAGAATCCTAAATAAAGAAAAAAATCATTTTCATAAAAGTAACAATGTAGCTTACATTTCTGAATAATAAAGCATGACAAGAACTACATGATGAAATACCAGATGATAATTTCATAAGTCAAGTATGTTAAAAAAATGTAATAAGTATGATCAATAATATCTATTTTCCGGGTTAAAAAATATTGAACAGCATAAGCAATATCAATAATTTTCATTTCTTGCACAATAAGAACAATAAACTTCCTGCTTCTCATTACAATTATTGTAGGTTTTTTTGGAACCCTGCAATAGATGGTATTACAGAAAAGTTAGTACTGAAATGGTGTTTGAAAAAAAAAAGAAAAAATTGTGTGTTTTGTCACATCATGAAACTGAATTGTCCATCAACAGATGCTTAAAATTCAGTATGGATGCAATCCACCAAAAGGTCGAGTCTATGCCATACCAGTTCATGATATTGATACTTGAAGTTCAGAATAACAGATGCTGTGTCAAGTTTTAAAGACTAAATGTTGATCACACTATGAAAACTGGAATATCAGCTTGATATTCTTCAAACTACAAAGGGGACAAACACTGAAATTTACTTATGTATTACTGTCTATTAAAAAATCTCCACAATTACCATTTCAAAAAACCATAAGTTTAATTATTATAGTTCTTACCGAACGTTTTGATCATGGGAAGACTGCCCATTCTAAATATCATCAGTTAAAACATTCAAATGGGCAATCAAATTAGTTCATAAAGATCATTACATGCTGTATTCCTTCATTAAAAATATGGCTTCACTATAAACATACTACAAGCTTACTAGCAAAGCTAAATGAGTAATTTTTGAACAATTAATCTTTGCATAGTCCTAGGAATGTAGGTACCAGAAGAGTGAATTTCACAGATGCATCAATAATTAACAAAATAAATTTAACTGAATTAAGTTCTAAAGAGAGTTATTCTGGATATAAGAAAACAAAGGATACTGTTGCATGTGTACAAGTTCATAATCGTTTGAATGCACACAGAACCAATGACAGCATTCTAAAATTTATTTTTATCAAAAGAAACACTTTACAGTTCTCCATAAAAATACTCAGCTCTTCTCAGTATTACAGAGTATAATCAGTAGTTAACTTCAAACTAACAAGAACGTCAAACAAAGGGCAATGCAAAGCCCATTTTGAAAGATGAAGCTCCTATGGAGATATCTCAATACTCTGAACTCAAGCTGAACTAAACAACTGAGAAACTGATACTCTCTAGTCTTACATAGTTTTCCACGGTTGCTGAGAAATCTCTAGTAGCTTCTAATTTTCAAAATTACAGTAAGGTATATGCAGTTAAAATTAGTTACAAGAGCCGAATGCGACTACAGCTACATATAGGGATCAATTAGTTATAAAGGGACCAGACTGAAATATCACCAAATTATTGCCAATTTTGACAACTAACAATTTAATGAAACAAGCAATGTAATTTATGTTTATCAGTTTCCTTGAACAAAATTGGAAACACATGACAAAGAATTTACAGGCTTAATCTGCTTTATGGGGGCTTTTTATGAAGGACATCTAAGATGAAATTGGTTTTCTAATCATGTTATATAACAGGAAAAGCACAAAACATCTATGCTGCCAGCTTATTCCATGACCAGATAAATCTGCAAGAAAATGTGATCATGTACATTTAGCTGTAAAAATGATGTTTAAAAAATACAGCTATTTTCAGCAAAAATAATTTTTTATAAGATGTGTGTTAATACTTAAAAAATTATGTGTTAATACTTACAAACGTCCATCTGAGAGATTTCATATCACATTACAGGTGAAAAAATTTTTAAAAATAATCTTTTCAGGTATGAATAAACAACTACTTATTTTACATTCAGAATATCTTCAAATAAGTTTATTATACTTGATTTACTACAGTCAAAAGTCGTTAATTCAGACACCCATAATCCGGACCTCAAAGCTACAAACTTTCTGCGCATGCGTCCGCGCAAGACCTTTACGGCTGCAAACATGCATGTGCGCATGCGCAAAATACGTTTACGAATGCACGTTTAATGTATAACAGACGGTATCAGTTAAGCTTAAATTATCTAATTCAGTTAATGTTGCAGATTGCATTGTTCCTTAATCTTCCAATTGGATTCGGCTTATTATTTTTTGCAGACTGTTAGAGCAATTTTATAAAAGTAAGCTTGAACTTTCAAATAGAATTTCTGATATATATTTTACTAATATGTAAAGGATCTACAAAGCGAAAGTATGTTTCGAAGTCCATTAAACAAAAAGTGGAATTGCTGCAAAAAATGGATAAAGGCATATCCTTTGTTTATCTAAACTTTAATGTTTGTTTATCTGAACTTTGCTTATCTTTAACGACGCGGCGCGCAATGAATTGGAAGTTGATCTGCCAGCACTATTCTTATCTTCAGGACAGATGTTTTTATTTTATTTGGCTTATTACTTCGTCTTTGATATGACTTAAATCAAATTCCTTGTCATTATAATTCGCTTCCAATAGCGAAAAAAATGACAAAGGTTATTGAAAACAAAAAAATTTCGATTGACAAATTAGTCGGTATTCTCGACACAGCAATTATAGGACTTGAACAGTGGAACTTTGTAACTGAAGAAGAAATTATGTCTGTTTATAGAATTAAAGATAATGTATTATCACATAAAAAATGAAGCAACTTAAACAACTTACATTGAAAGAAATGTTTAATAAAGTAAACAAATAAATATTAAGCTTTTTTTTTTTTTTTTTTTTGTTTTTTTTTGTAAATTTTGATACCCTTTAGATCATAATTGTTCTTTATTTCATAAATTAGAGTTTCATATTTTTAACTTTATAATTTCTGCATGCTATCTTACCAGATTTAAACTGCTGATCTATAATCTGGAAAAATCGATAATCCGGAATCGGTGAAGTCCCGACGAGTCCGGATTAACGACTTTTGACTGTATTATTAATACTGTGACAATAGTGCTAAGAGTCCCTGCAAATAATTTTTATTAGTTAAAGATCAGTTTAAACAATTTTGTTTTGACAATACTGAATATTAAAAAATATTTACATGTTAATCAGTCATACTTAAACTGGAAGAAGTATATATTTCTAGACACTTAAAAAAAAATGAAATAAAACATAGCTGGATTAGCTTCATATTATGGCACAATTACATAAACTTAAGGACAGGTTTAAGTAGGTAAAAACACTGTAAAAGACAAATTTTAAGTATGCAGACCAATAAGAAATTACAGTGTAAATAATGTATAACTGGATCACCAACATTAACTTACAGTATAAGTTGATGACAGTGATCCAGCTGCACACACAGCAAGATTTGTCTGTCTCAAGAAATTAACTCCAATAATAAAACTGCACAATTCAAAATGCAGTACTCGCAGAACCACTTCGAAATTTATTTCCTCAGGTTTGATTTAAGGTAGGGGAAGGAGTTTTCAATGCATAAAACAAATAAATACACTATATAAAATAAGAATAAATGTGGAAGCATTGGCTAGTAAAGCAATTCAAGACTGGGAACATGTTATTAATAATTTTTTATAGTATCTGCTTTCCCACAGCAGCAGTGCCCTCAATTTCTTTAGTGTATCCAATTTTGTCCCACTACCTTCATGTTTCATATTCACTATTGTCTTAATGCTGTATGGAACTTGCAAAAGGACAATATGGAAGTCATTCATTGTTTTAACAAATAATACTGTTGAACAGTTGAAAATATTTCCAATTTCCATATAATGAAATCTACACTAATGAACTTGTTCCAAAACTGCAATATTCAAAAATGCATATAGGCAGGCAATAAGGATTTGAATAGAAAATCAATTTGAAAGAAATTGGATCACATTTATAACATTTAATTAATGTTTAATGGGAGAAGTTAACATCAGTCAGTTTATGCCTAGAACTGGATATCAGAGCCAAGCCAAGCTGTCACACAGCAGAACAATTATCTTTAAGAAATTTCAATTAGCAAAACAGAGCAAGAATAGTACCCAACTGACAACCAAAATCTGGTGTTCAAAGTGCTGCCAACATTTTTAGACACTCGCATCTTTGGTGTTACTACATCTGCTGCTGTATAATAAGGTACGGATATTTGCTGAAATAAGACTTCATATAACACCAGATCATAATTACACACTATGCACATATATGCACTCATATGATGCATAACACATGAGTCATATGTATGTGCATATATTATGCATAATATATGTATATGGGTTAACATACTCATACATTATACACTTCTTTCCAAAGTCACACATTTTCAAAAAATATCACACTTTCTGAAATCAAAATATTTGAACCATTAATGAATTAAAGTTCAGCTTTATGGCTTCTGATGAGCTTTCCAGTTTCTTTCATCATAGTTTTAACTGCACTATTTAAACTAATAATATTAAAATACTGGGTGAAAATAGCATTAATATGTTGACTGTAATTATATGTAGGCCAGGACATTTCACATATTTCCTCAGCAAATATTCTCAGATATTAACACTAAGAAATTTCTTAACATTAAGCAAAGGTAAGGAGAGAAACAAAAAGTTTGAAAATGTATTTTTGTATTCCATTTCATACTAAGTTTGATTCTAAGTGTAATAAAAAATTTCTTGCAATCTCTTATTTAAATTTTTATTTAAAAATTTATGCATGAAAAATAATGATGAAAGAATAAATTATAATTTTTTAATTCCTTACAAGTAATTCAGCTAACACAATTAAATTTTTTTGAACAAAATACAGATATAACTAACTGTTCATTTATTTACAGAAAAATTATAATATGATGAAATCCTGAAAGTAATACTTTTATGCAGAAGAATCAAAAAGAGCTCTAAGTTCTTATTTAAATTCATCCTAAAACATACATCCAAATGCATCAACTAGCAACTAACTTCAGAAATAAAAACTTCCAACATCACATTTTTAATCATATAATGCAATATGATTTATGAGTGACTGTATATTAAGCTACAATCATAATTACTTGTTTCTGGTCAACGGCATCACTATCCGTAGCAATAGCTTCTGACTTTTTGGGCAATTCTTCAGCATTACTCTCATCTACAGAATGATAGCAAATGCATATTAATGAATTAATTAAAATAGTGTTAACAACATATTTTTATAAAGTAAGATACTTAGAACCAAATTTTCACAATGACCATAAGTAATAAATTTCAAAAATCTAATAAATGCAATAAAGAATTTAATAAATGTTAAACCCAAAACTCTCCACATAAACACCCCAATAAAAAAAAATCAATGAAATTTAAAGAAAAAAGAACATAACAGAAGAGGAATTCAATCAACTTCAATGCCACTTCGTCAGGGGGTAGGAACATTTAAATTAATTGAAATATCTCTTCTACAAAAATCCTTGCTTTTCTGAATCCAGAATTAGCTGAAGAACCATTTCAAAGTATTTTAATTATAATAGTCCACCCAAAAATTCTGGCCCTTCCCTAGAGTAAGGAAAAAATACATTTTAATTAAGATTTTGTACTTTTAAAAAAGAGATTTCTATTCAAAGATTTGAAAACATAAGTGAACTAATAAAATATTTTAGTGAAAAATTCAAATTAAAATTTACCTTAAAACGAAGAGCATATAATCCAATGAGTTTAAAACATAAGTGAAATTATAAAACTTTAGTGGCCCACCAGCGGCCGAGCAGTAAAGTCGAACACTGGTAGTTCGGTCCGAGGTTTGATTCCTGCGAACGGGCTGGCTGCATGGGTGTTTTCAAGGTTTTTCCCCAAGTGTAATGTGTATACGAGCCAGTTTCCCTTAGAAAGTCCTCCACGAAGGCATGCCTCCTCTTAGGAAGCTAGCCCTAGTGTGCTTTGCCATAATTAAAAAAACCACCGCCAATAAAACTTTAGTGAATAGACTTGAATAAAAACTCCCAAGAAGTAATTAAAATATTCGAGCACTTTCATTTAGTACACAATCGAAACTATGATTAAGAACGTTTCTGTAGTGACTTTTAGGTTTGCCATTTTGTTTTCATTGGCAAAACTTAAACACCGTGGTGAGAAAGTAATTGCTCAAAAAGTAAAAAATTGGAACAAAAAATAGAATTAAAAAACAACAACAACAACAACAACAAAAAAAAAAAAAAAAAAATAAAATTTAATTTTGAAAAAGAAAAAAGATTACTTTTCTAAGTCAAAGGAAATTTAAGTAAATTCTGACCTTTTTTTTTAAACAAAAAGAGAAAAAAGTATGTCATTCAGTATAATACTTAAATTTAGAATCAATTATTTTTTAAAATTAGTAGACTCAATAAGGATGCTAAAAAAATGGTCAAAAAGTTTTTAATATATGTTTTATAGAAATAAGTAGAAAAATCCATAAAGCTGAATTTTAGATTTTTTAATTTTTATTTTAAAATTACAGAAAAAAATCAAAAGAGAGTTTGAAATAATAAGTATATGAACTATTTTTAGAAAAGCAAAAATTCTTCTCTTCATGGGTTTATCATGACGACTTTGAATATAGGAGGCCTTTGTTTTACTAACATTAGTAATTAAGAGAAAATAAATTTAAAAAAAAAATAAAAACCTATAAACCCTTTAAAACATCTTTCTTTATCCTTCTCTTTCGGAGCTTTCAGATAAAAAATTCATATTTTTAAAAAGTATTAAAGGGTGTAGAATACTTCAGATTTTTTTAAAAGACCATTATGGAATTTTATAGGAACTTCATTTTCTTTTACAATTTTGGCAAGAACGAAAATTTCTTCTTTTTGTGTTTCTATTTCAGTGTAAACTTTTTAATTCTTATAATTTGGTTAATAATAGTATTTGCAACAACTTTTTTAGATATGTTGGAGTTCCACTTTATAAGTTTCATAGTAGAAAAATTACAATCTTTTCTTTTATCAAAAAGTTTAATTTCTTTAAGGTTATAAATACTTACATCAAGATAAATTATTTCCGTTTGTTTTTTTTCTTATTAAATTGTAGACAGTTTAGGTAGATGCTGTTATTTTCGATGAGATTATAATTGTTGAAAGTAATAATGTCAATCAATATATCTAAAAGTGTGTTCAAATTTATTGAAATCGTCTTTAGAAGGACTCTTTAGAAATTTGAATTCTTTAAGAAAATATAAATAAGTTACAAAGATGAGTTAAATATGAACTTCCCATTGGAATTCCTTGTGTTTGCAGGTAAAGACATTTTGAATGTTTAATACAGTTACTGTATAGTGAAAAATGTAGAAATTCATTCCATTTTTGTAAATCCAGAATATTAAGTTTCTGAGGGAAAAATTTGTCATTTCTAAAAGATTTTCGTAGATTTCTTTGAGAGATATGTAGCGGTTTTCAAAGTTATAGCAGTTAATACTGTAAATTTTAAGATTTCTAACTTTGTCACTGATTTTCAAGTTGTAAATAATCCAGTTGTCGTAATAATCTTTTTGTCAGTTTTAACTTGTTCCAAAACTATAGTTTTAAGAGTAAGTTTTGAGAAAAATGAATGCAGCCTTTTGGTAATAGTTGGTGCTGACCGATGCACTGGATTTTTGATGTTAGAATTACGGGTTGTTACCTTTGGTAGGATTCTTGTGGAGGTGAAACTGGAAATTTTTGCCAAAGACAATTGAAGCTAATGACCCAGGTAACCCTAGCAAAACCACATTAGGATTTAAATAATATGACGCCTTAAGCTATGAACACCATCTAGAATACTGGAAAATGAAAAAAAAAAAAAAAAAAAGACTTCATAGGGGTCAATAGGCTTTTTTCAAAGCAGAAAAGGATATACATGCAGTGATAGTCTTAGAAAATAGTACCATTAATTTGTGCAACATTAAGCGATGTAATGAATTAATACTTTCTATTTTTTCATTGCTTTCTGTTGATTTAGTAAATTTCATTTGCAATATTTTAAAACGCTGATCCACTTTTCAATAGAATTATAAATTCTAGGATAATAATTATTAATAATCAAAGCTATATCCCTCCCCCATGTTATATTGGTAATATTTTTATTCTTGTCTTATTTAGGAATTTTGATTTGCCTATTCAGCATTGGATAGAATTTTTACCACATTAATAGTAGTAGGAGAGGTTAGAAAAAATATAGCTCAATCGTATTATAATCATTTTATGTGATAACTTAAGATGACCAGTCTTTCTGAAAATATACATAAAACACCGCTTTGAATATCATTGCTTTTAAACAATTGTCTTCATAGAAAATGAAATCTTTTGGACATGTTGAAGATTGTCTTAGAAGGGCTGTATTCTATTCGGTAAACTTATTCAACTTAAATGAAAATCAGAGATTGAAGGTAATATATATATGTCAGCATAGCTAGAACATATGCCGCCTGGGGTGGACCCTGAGTGTGTCTGCCTGTGTAGTCTTTGAATTTGTCTCTGCTCTTGGTGTTGTGAAACTGATTAGCTGTATCTAACAAATATTAAAAACAAATCTCTTCATTTTGATGTACGAGACACAGATGGCGTTGGCTGTCATTGAAGTAGGAAGAAAAAAAGGGTTTTCCCCTTTCGACCTCGTGACGTGAACTGATTAAGTGTGTAATAACTTTCGGGGCCAGAAAAATTTCCCGACAATTGTTAAAAAATGTATATATTTTGTAGTATAGAAAGAATATAATTAGATAAATCAACATATTAGAGTTTTTATTACAGATTCAACATCACACTACCCAGGTAAGTAAGCAAGTTTTGTCTTTAGTTTTTCTGGATTGCTCTGTATCTGGGATGAGTGAAGGAAGTATTTTTATTTTAATGATATTTAATGATGAGACTATGTTTTAGTAATAACAAAAAGTGGCGTCCCATGACAGGACTCTTAAGAAATAAACTTTTAAAAAAATATTTTAATGGTAATAGATAGTTTTTGATGTATTAAAGTATAATTAAGTTTAAATTCGAAACTATTTTTTGTAAAGCAGTTTGTTTTATTTTGAAAGTTAACTATGGAAGCTTTAAAGGCTCTGAAACTTAAACGGGCAGGTTTACGCACTTCTTTTGCAAAAACTGCTAATATTTTAAAAACGGAATTAATAAAAGAAGATTTTTCTGTAGATTTAGTACGAGATAAACTTACTAAACTACAAAATGTATATTCAGATATAAAAAATGTAGATGATAAAATTCTTGATTTGTTAGCTGAAGACGGGAAAACTTTAGAGTATGATGTTACTAAAGAAATCGAAAGTCGCGAGGTGTATTCTGATGATTTCATAACGCTAACTCGGCAAATTAATGAAAAATTGCAATTTTCAGATGAAATCAATTTAGAAACAAGACCAAATGACGGTGCTGCTGGTATTTGTTGTAGTAAGATTAAACAGTATAGACTTCCGAAAATCGAACTTAAGAAGTTTGATGGGGAATTGATAAATTGGTTACCGTTTTGGTCGCAGTTTGAGAAAATTCACACTGACCCTGATTTATGTGAAAGTGACAAATTTTCCTATTTGATTCAGTGTATGAAGCCCGGATCACGTGCTAAAGAATTCATTGAAAGCTATCCGGTGATTTCGGAAAATTATGATAAAGCTGTTTTAGCTTTGAAGGAACGTTTTGGGAAACCTGAATTATTAGTAGAAGTGTATGTTAGGGAACTAATTAAATTAATTGTTTCTAATGTGAAGGCAGATCAAAAGGATAAATTACCTCTTGATAAACTGTATGATAAAACTGAAGCTCAGTTGAGAGCCTTAGAGTCTTTAGGTCTTAAATCGAGCGAAAACACATCGTGGTTATTTCCGATGGTGGAATCGTGTCTCACAGAGGATGTTTTAAAGGCGTGGCAAAGGAGTTCGCTCTTTAACCAGCCTGAAGGAACTGATCTTTCTCGCCTTACCAACTTAAAGAAATTTTTAAAGTCTGAAGTGGAGGGTGAGGAGAGATTAAAATTGGCGCGTAATGGACTCGATGGTGTTAGTCGTAAAGAAGGATATCATGATAAAGCAAAGAGGGAAACAAAAGGTAAATTTAAATTTAAGAAAAACAGGCAAATGTTCCCACTGCCACAGGTTTTCTTACAACCAGAGAACATGCATTGTATTTTTTGTGG